ACATGCTGGCCCCCATTCCTCTATTTTATAGTCTGATATAAGGGGACAGTGTCTATAACACATTCCAAATGTAATTACTTGTATCAATGCATTTCCTTTCTGGACTGTAATCCATCTAAAATATGGCATTAGTGACTTTTTTGTCTCTAGTACTATAGCAATCAACATGCAGTCAAATGCCTTAAAAGGGAATAAAAAACTGGGCTTTATCCACTAGTTTTTCTCCCCAGTTGTATGCTTTCAACATGCACTTTGACACAACTGCATAAAAATTCAAGAAACTTGTTCAACTGATTAAATTGGAAAACTGGATAATGCCATTCTTTGGGGGCATATGGGGATAAAGAAACCTTCCTGAGCCTGCTGATATAAACATAGACCAGTGTAGACACTCTGGAAACAAGCTGGTAGTACTTAGTTAAATTGATATTCCCAGTGTCCCAGTAATCCTGTGCCTGGATATAGTTCTCAGAAATATTCTCACACGCTGGGAGAATGCTCCATGACAGTTACTACAGTATTGTTTGTGATGGTGCGAAGTGGGAGGTAATCATGATGCCCATCACTTCTGGATAGGTAAAATATGGTAGATGCCAGGTACAAAGTATTCTGCAGCTAGGCCAACACTGTACTGCAGTAGATAAGTGTTATGCAAAGGAAGCCAGATCCCACATCCACAACATGGCTGGGGTTCAAACTCCAGCCTGGATAGCAACATGCTGGGCCCTTGTATATAGTTCAGAATCCTGATAGGATAGAGATATGGAAGAAGATTGCAGCATGACAGGCCCTGTTGGGGAGTGCTTTCTCTCTCTCTCTCCTCTCTCTCTCTCTCTCTCTCTCCACTCCCATGCATGCATGTACTCTCTATTATGCAAAAAACTAAATCAATTTCACTTATAAAAATAAAAAATAAAGTGTTCTGCAGCAGTTAGAAACAAAGGTCTGAATGTTTGTGCAGTGAAATGGATAGGTCTTAGAAACAATTGATCACAATGACAAAAAAAAAGAAAAGAAAAAAAAGAGAAAAGAATGAGCTATCAGCATAATGTAATTGTGTAAATTTAAAAAACATGAACAAATGTTTTACAAGAACTCATGAAAACAGAAGAATATTATTAAACACATTAAAATGGCTGCTTGTAGTGGGAGGAAGAATGGAAATGGCAGTAAGAAATTGAGAAACGAGAATCAAATGAGATACACAGAAAAATGATGGATGGATGGATTCATGGTAGAAAATGACGATGGTAATTGATAGAAAGATAGATGACATACAAATTATCAGTCAGTTGGTCAAGTGAGAAGCCCGTGCAGGCCAACAATATGGAGTTATGAACTAAGAAGTGTGATTAACAACATTCTGCACTTGAAATCCAGAAATAAAACTGTCCAAGAAAGCTGGTAAGTTTTTAGGGCAATAAGATATTATTGATGGAGCATACTCCATATTGAGGGGAAAAAAATACTAAATGTGAAGTTGTTTTGCCCACTCTTTACAGTGCCTATAAAACTCAGATTTGTCTTATCACATCTGGCTTCTTGATGTGGCATCTGTCCACTTACCAATCAACAATCAGAGCTTATAATGGGACTATCTACTAGCTCAGCATGTTGACAGAGCCATAAGCTTCTGCTAAATGGCAAGCTGAAGCAAAACAGCCACAAGTGAAGGGCAATAAACATCTTGTAAAAACATTTTAAAGTCCCATTCCACAGTCCAAAGTGCAGCAGTCTGGACTGTTCTTCAGGGTCTGACAGCCCAACTTGGTAAATACAACAACTAGACAGGTAATAACTGCTCTGGAACAGCTCAGCCTCTGCAGCCTGGACAAATCTAATGGCAATCCTCGCATGTTATCAATGGAGAGCAGACTTCCCCACTCTCACTCCCACCTCTAGCCATTCACCCCATGGATTGACAGTTTCAAATCCCAAATCACAAGAGAAATAACACTTTATTGTTTTGGAGAAAAATTCGTCCTTCAGAAGAGTCTCTTTCAGAGAACTAACATGTGGATGAGAGATTAGTAGTCGGGGGTTACGTGGTCCAATATGACAGCTACTAGTCACACGTGGCTCTTGAGCACTTAAAATGTGGCTAATTCAAGTTGAAACATTAAGATCTAGTATGACAAAGAGAATGTAAAATATCTCACTAATAAGTTTTATATTGATTACATGTTCAAATAATGTTTTTGAAATAATGCTTTAAGTAAAATATAGCAAGTTATATTCACCTATTCTTTTTGCACTTCTTGAAGTAGCTAGTAGAATATTTAAAACTACAGGGCCAGGAGGTGGCATAGTGGTAAAGGTGATGGATACCCAATGGCTGGCTCTGTGGTTCACGTCCCAGACCCAGCGGCCTGAGAAACATGCTGGGTATGTGTGCACGTATACCCAAAATCCCAAGAGGAGAATGAAGGAGAAGGAATTTTGGCATGGCCATCCTCCCTGGGGGGTGATTTCTTGCTTTCTGTCTGTCTCTCTGCCGAATGCACGTGCCCTATAGCAAAAACCTCTCCCCCCAACATAATATATAT